GTATGGGCGCAATCCACAAACGTGAGACATCTCACGCGCAGAGCAAGATACTGGGCGAGCGGGACCTTACCCGCACCTGAAGGGAAGCGGAGGAAATGTATACCAGCGAATCTTTCCGCCAGGCCAGAAGCGAGTGCTATAGTGTTTAAGGCGAAACTTTACCAGCCGACATGTATCGTCGCTACAGTTCTCGTTTATTCTCGCATTAAGGGTCACTTTCCGATCTTTGCTTCCTAGCAATGCGAAGTCACCCCCTTGAAATACACTGTCCACATGTATTGCTTGGTAGTTCGTGTCCTGGGTCGATCAGGGCCCTTCTATGAGACTTGATGGTTGCGCTGAAATGCCGTACAGTATATTGCTTGATGATTAATTCCCGAAAAAAGACGCTACTCCCGGTGCACACTTGACAACTGGCGAAAATGAGAATGCCACTTGTCATATGATGAATGCAGGCAGCTTCATCGAATCAACGTGCCAGTGGCTGGCGTGGAAGAGCACTTTAGGCTTCCGGTATTTCTGGCCTTTTCAGGACTGTTTATTAGACCACTTCAATGAGTGCTTTAAAAGGCATCGGCCCACCGTGAAGATACTTTCTTCGCTTCTGCCACTCTTCCCACTGCCGAGAAGTTTATTGACGTGTACTCGAACATTATCTCTACTTCAGCATTGCAAAGGTAGTTAGCAGTATAGGCTGCGAAATGAAAGAGGGAGAAGCGAGAAACGCTGAGCATTTCTGCGATGCAAGTGGTTTCTAATTGCCCAGAGGTATTCTTCCTAAACGAGCACTATCTTCTAAAGATTTTGGCAACTCTGCCAGTAAGCACAGCTGAAGCAGAACGCTCTTTTTCATCGCTGAGATGCATAAAGTTGTACCAGAGAGGTATAACAACAAATGAAAGATTGCTTGGCATCGCTCTCTGAACATCCACTGAGCAACGCCGTGACCCGGATTTACTTCCCATCATGGAAGGCCTGAGTTCCGCTACTCCACAGACTTCTCTGAACTGGTATTTCCTTCATGAAGGGGTTCTCTACCGCCACGACATGCGCCTTAATGGTCCTGATCGCCTTCTCATCGTGCCTTCCCATTTGCGTGTTGATGTTCTCCGACAGCTTCACGATGAACCTTCCGCTGGACACCTTGGAGTCACCCGCACGTATGATCGCGTCCGGCGGCGTTTTTCTGGCCACGTCTATATCGCTGTGTGCAAAAGTATGTCGCCAGCTGCGACCTTTGTCAACGTCGAAAACGGCCAACATTGCTTTCAGCTGGCCTCCTTCACCCTATTGAGATAGATCCCTGCTGAACCATTCTACTGCGTAGGGCTCGACCTTCTCGGGCCATTTCCCACATCTGCATCCGATAACAAATGGGTTGCCGTGGCGACCGACTACGCGACACCTCCCAACCTCCCGCGCTCTCCCAACCAGCTGCACTGCCGATGTCGCCGACTTTCTACTGCATGACATCATTTTGCATCACGGTTCTCCTCGAAAGCTCGTTACTGACCAAGGCCGATACTTTTTATCTTGCGTTGTCCAGGATCTTGTACGTTCCTGTTCCATGAACCACAAGTTCACAACGACATACCATCCACAAACTAATGGACTTACAGAGCGCCTGAATTGCACTATCACCGACATGTTGTCGATGTATGTTTCTCCAGACCACCGCGACTGGGACGCAACGTTAACCTACAATACATTTGCTTGCAACTCCTCCAGACATGACACCGTAGGCTATTCCCCGTTCTACCTTCTTTATGGACGTGAACCCTCTCTGCCTCTCGACACTCCTTCCCGCTGGTTCAAGCTCCCCTGTCACATATATCTGCGATGCAATAGAATGAGCCGACGCAGCACGAGAGATTGCCCGAGAACGACTCACACTTTCTCAAGCCTCTCAGAAAGATCGGTACGATCATCACCACTGTGAAGTTTCGTATGCACCCGGTTCACTAGTGCTCTTGTGGACCCCTGTCGTCACATCAGCCTGTCAGCAAAGCTTTTATTTCGCTATGACTGACCATACAAAGTCCTACGCAAGGTCACTAACCTCACCTACGAGATACAGTGAGTCATCAATGAAGCGCATTCAACGCCACTGCCATCTACTGTTGTGCACGTCGCAAGACAGAAACCTTATATGTCGCCCAAGACTCCGCTTTCGTGAAAGCGCCGGGTTGGGGCTTTAACGCCGCGGGGTAGTGCCACAAGGCAGTAGTGGGATTGGGGCATAAAGCGGTAGAGGGTCTATGCTTGGAAGAAAAGACTACGAAGTAGATAAAGATCGTCCCAGCCCGCCAGTGTGTCAGCCATTGCCATCGCAAGTAAACATCGTAAATATCTGCAATTAAACGTTTCCTTGTAAGAATATTAATCTTCAATCAGTGCTACAAAGTACTAGACCTTTTCCCGTGTGACTAGTCATCTAAGTACTAAGAAAAATGTAGAGGCTTACTCGGGCTGACAACCGTAAATCTAAGGACCGCTTATTGTTGCTTGTTATTCTTGCCTTCTTTAAGCTTCGCATGAACATTACCTCCTTTAGTATACATCCTTAACCTCACAATTACTTTTTACATGTGATGTTTTATAGTATTGTGCAACATAGGCCGAATTTTAAAAGAAATGGCCACTTGGTATTCTGCTTCTACAAGCCAATTGTATGAAGCTAAACAGGCGAGGCATGCAGACGCCATTTAAACAAAATTCAAAGTGCTAAAGAGCGAGTTATATGGAACAGTATTCTATTGAAGCAGAGGACACATTAGTGATCAACGATCATTTGCTTGAAAGTTGTACAGTCATCAGCAAACTTAACTATAAAGTGCCACAGCGTGACCTGGGCCGGTTCGACTGATGCCAGCCACAAAATGCTGGGTGCTTTTGAGGAAATAATACACTGGTACGCTCAAATATGGTGGCATGTACTGGTAGCATCTCGGCAAGAGAACCCAGAGGCGCGGCGATGGCATCAATAAAATCATTTCAGGATATGCTGGGGAACATTTGAGTTGAGCTTACCAAGGACTATACAAGTGTTTTGACGTTACTGTGGTGAAGTAACAAACAGATGCCTTACATGTCCTAGGCTTCTGGTACTGAAGCCTCTTTTGTGCAATGCGTGAAGTTTTTCCGATAGTCTTTGGTTTGCTTCCATTCGGAAGAACCATGCACACATTCAACTGATGTGTAATCATAAATACGGGCTGTAACAGCAACACCTGTTTCAATCTATCTACAAATTTGCTACAAACCTCGTTGATACTAATATTTCAAATGTTCTTCACAGAGCAGGCACCAAGGACTTTATTAGCTCTATTATTCCTGGTGACGTGAACAGAGCACTGGCATGAGCGTGACTGCAAGATTCTAATCACTACATAGCATTTTCTTTCTGCTTGGAGATTAGTAGTTTTGTCCTTGCGAAATCCTTGCCATAGAAACGCTGCTATAACTTCTATATCCTTAATTTGACCACTAACTCTTTCAAAACTGCCAAATAAATTGGATTTGCTTCTTCGTTGTGCAGCCATTTGACACCTTGGTCGTAATTTTCTTTGTAGGTGTGCACAGGCTTCAGTTAACCCGAGCCTGTGGGCCGGGCTCGAGAAGTCCTCTGTTATGGTGGCTCCTCCTAGCCACCATACCTCTGTCTTCTCCCGTCAGGCCTAGGCTCGGGCTAGGCGCAAAGCCCGAGTCAAGCCGAAGATAGAGATGTTGACCTGTATTGCTTTCTAGCTCATAGCAATGAGTGCACAATGTAAGCTTTGTGATTATCTAACCACGAAACCATTGTCCTGTCCTGCATCTGAGGTGCTAAACTTTTGTTGAAAGATCAAGATGTCTAAATATAAGCTTGCTATGCTTGCGAAGATGTTGGCCCTTCTACCTACCAGTGTAACTATTAAACAGATTTCAGTTTGGTGCGGTGTGCGATGTAATGGCGTTGCACTGCACTGAAGCCCAACTCATTGAAAAACTTATTATTTTTAAACGAAAACTTGTAATCAGTCTGTATAGTGCCTGTGATGTGTCGTTTGCTTATGTTTCCATTTGATGTGTTGACTAAAATGCCACATTATTGATTATCGAAAAACTATATCATGTCTTCACAACAAACCATCCAAATGTCGGGCCGGAATGGTATCAGGCTTGGGCTTTTGTTTTTGTATGTCGGGCCGGGTGGGCTCGCATTCTTCTAGCGTCAAGCTTGGATGGGCCTTTGATGGAAATGCACAGCTTTACTTGTCATTTACGCTGGCCATTAGAGTAGGCGGTACTTGCGGTCAAAGTTCTGTTTAAGTGCACACCACGCCTGAATCATTTTTGTTAACAAGGTGCCTTTTAGTGGCTAAATTTATCACAAGTGTTTCATTTCTCTGAGATTCCTGTTTGAGTGAGTTGCGTTTTATCTGGTGCCAGTTAACTTCATCATCTTTAAAATTTTTTTTTGTTCTCAAAGCTTACAGTAATGGCAGCTTGTATTGTATTGTAACCTGTGTTACCTTGGTGTCAAACACAAGATGAAATGCGCGTGCTTGGCTTTTTCTACCTGATTCCATCAAAACTTTAGACCCAAACCCGTAGCCAGGAGCCCCCCCCCCACCCCCCACCCCTAGAATTTTTATTGAGGGAGTTGTTTGTTGTTTTACCAAATTTTTCAGACATAGTCAAGGCCTTCCGCAAGTGCCCCTCTCCTCCCCCCCCCCCCCCCCCCGTCTTGGGAACAATTTTTAGCTACAGGTCTGTGATGACCGTATGCCTACACAAGCAGTGATTGCTACTCAAAAAGATGATGTATGAAAACAATATATACTAAATTACAAGAGAAAATTCTTGTGTGTTTATGAAAAGTAAAATTACACAACAAATTTCACGAGCAATCACTCTGCAATCGATTGTTTCTTGTTTTATGCTAACGTGAATGCACACATTCAACCGTCATTTTGATGCAACTTTCACAGTTCTCTATGCTTCATTTAATATTTCAGATAGTGTCCTACATATGCTACCTGAGCAATGTGGTCACGCAAACTGTGTTGAGCAAAGTGTGGTACCCTATACATAGTGTTCATGTGATGTCACTTCCGCCGTTGTCACCATCTTCCGCCATGCCCGGGTACATCACTGGGTACCTACAGCTGTTTGCGTGCTGCAGCGTGGTTTGTTGAGGGCTCGTCATCTGTTGCTGTGCGCGATGTTTAAAGAAAAGTTTGTGGTTTTTCTCTGTGGTGTTTTAACGAGCTCATAGGGTCAGGAAGGCCTCGCTTGTTCACTCGATACAATATCAGAAAATCAAAACGTGTGACACATATACCAGCCGCCGCGATCACCGGCTGCCCGCCACGATCTACGAGGGCCCATTATCTCGCACGAGGAAACAACACGGCAGCGGTCGGCCACAGAGTCAGTAGTAGGTACCCGGGCATGTCGGTGGTGCATTTCATAAGTGACGAATCGGCGCTGCGTGACACACGTGCACATTATGTATTAAAGAGAAAGCGATTGACGGTTCACTCATTCTTTACAGTTGCGGTCTTGGACCCGAGCTAATGCTGATGCAGAACGCATCTCTATTCAGCGTGGTCTGTGGGGCCCTTGCCGGCGGATGGAACTACGCCAGAACAGCTAGGGCCAATTACATTCGCAAGAACCAAGGAAGCACTTTTCTCAACCCTAAACAAGCAATGGTGGGTACACCTTTGGTTGCATTCTCTGCCAGGTTGGTAGATGTCCACACACAAGGCGCAAAATGTACTGCGGGTGTCGTCTTACCTCCCTCTGTCCTTGTCTTTATTGTGCAGTCAATATGTTGAAACAAGAGGCGCAAAAATATGGCTCCTTTTGCATGACGAAATAAGGAAGAAAGAGGTCTAGAGGAGTGCAACCCCTTGACCCATTCCCTTGTTATTTTGTCCTGCAAGAACAGCCATGTTTTTGTAGCCTATACATGAACTGACCATCCCAACAGAGTGTGCTTCTAGACTACGGGTTAGTACAGCTGTGCCACTCGCACTAAAGTGCTACATTTACAGCTTCCAGCGCCAAAGTCACCATGATTTCCGGAAATTGTGATATGCTGCTGCAAAGCACAGAAACTGGTTTGTGTAGATTTGTTTCGATTCCGCCCAGTTTTAGCAGAAACTCGTAGCCGTGTAATGAACTAGGATTCTGCGTCATTTGCGATTTCGTACAGAACGTTCATTATGAAACTGATGTCATCAGCAAGAGTAGGCCTAGTGTCTCGCTGTGCAGCGCTGACTTACATGAAGGTATGCAGATACGTTGCACAGGTGACACCAACAGGGTCATAAATTTGCCCAGTTAAGTTGATTGCATGGCCTCTGTGTTTTCGCCGTGCAGTTCTCTTGCACACATTCCTCGCTCATCTACGGCTCAGCGTAGTGCCTGTGCGCACATGCTTTTTCCTCGACATGAGCAACATGGGGAAAGAGCGTTGCTTTGTTGTCGGCTGCAAATCGAACGACTAGGCAGCAGAAAAGCATCGACACTGGCACTGTCGTGTTACGTTGCCAAAATGAGTGGAGTCACGACGACGGGCTACGCGTCCCCCTTCATGTGAGGGAGTAGGGTGGCGAGGCCTCGCGAAAATTTGAAACCAGCTGATACCGATGTTCTAACTGCTGTAACTGCCTTAATATAGCGTCTACTCACAAAATTCTTGTGGCAGCATGTTCACGAAGTAAAAGTGCACGTATTTCTCTTGATTACAATTTTTGAACCTTGGAAGGAAGGAAGGAAAATAGGAAGAAAAGAACGGCAGGGAGGTTAACCAGCCTATAGGCAGCCGGTATGCTACCCTGCACATGGGAGGGGGATGGGGAGATGAAAGATAGAGAGCAGAGAGGGAAGAGAGATAAACACAGCACATTCGGCAGCACACGCGCACACTTAGTCATAGTCCAGTCTTGTCTTTGGCAGTGTGTGACATTGCTGTTACAGCCGCTTGTTCAAGTCCGTGTCGCGTAGGAATTTAAACAGAGCTTTTGTCGCCTTCTGTTGCAATGTCTTCTCTCGGGCACTTGAATCATTCGTGCTTCTTAGGATCATTTGGACCTTGTGGTTGTTTACTGGCCCTTTAACTTCGTAGGCTACTAGCCACTCATCATAAAGCGTACTAACACAAAATTTGCAGTTTTTTTGTTGTTGCAATGAGTATGAGTAGTTAACTACTCAGTTATAACATCTGCAAACTTCCTCTGCTTGAGTGCATGACAGTGAGCCTTCTTGCTACCTCTGATGAGTTTAGTCATGAGATTTTGTTGCAAAATGATTGATCACAACTGTACTTGTCATCAACAAAAATTGGTCCCACACAGAACAAATGAAGACAGTACCCATTGTACTTGTCTTTCCTGGCACTAGATGGCCACACTATTCCATGTTGGGCCTCCTGTGTCTCGGTTCGCATTATACTATTGCCATTTATTGTAGTGTTTCCATGCGGTGAAGCCGTCCATGAATTATTTTTCTTTGCGCGATCAGTGATATAAGGGAACCCTTTTGAATTGAAAGAGTAGTAGTGTCTCATTCATAAAAATGTCAACAAATTTTGTGCAAAATTTTTCAGTAATTATACCATGTTTTTTTTTTTTATACTGGTAGCAAAAGGGTTAAATATTTGAAGGCATTTTTCCAGCACCCAGGCACAGTTTAGGTTTCAGAGAACGCTGAGAGAGGTGGGACCCAGTGGGATTTTCGTGTAAATGCAGCTGGCCATGTGTGCACACAATACAGTGACGTGCTTTCAGTGCACGTGGCACTGCACTCACAAGAGCGCATACACAAGGAGCATGGCAGCCTACCTAAACTCGTATTGTTGTTGGTTGTTAGTTAGTATTGGAACCAAGCCAATGTTGCTAGGTGGTCCATTTCGCATGCAATTGCATGGCGTGAACGGTAAGGGGGCAGACAGATGTTAGACATTTTAAATGCGAAGCATTTTTTAGCAAACTTTGGTGACTTTGAGCCTATCTATCTATCTAGCCGCTTACGTTCGGGTGCTCTCGTGGTCACTCCCTTAACTTGGCAAGAACCAAAATTAGCATGGGAGGGTAAGATGGTTTGACGAATATGACACGCTGGTCAAGACATGAATAAAGTCACAATGCCATCGCGCACGTCGTCAAACAACCCACGGGCGGGTATGTGCCTCTGGTATGCGGGTATGTGCTACAGGTGATTGACACTTAGTATCTACCCAGGAAAGACGAGAACATGCATGGACAATTTTAATGCGCGAGCTTTAGGCAATACCCGATATCGGTAGCGTCAACCCAACGAAGGCATAGAATAAATGTCAGTGTTAAGAAAAACCTGACATAGGCAGCGTTAATTCACTGACGAATACAAATAATAAATTTCAGGGTTCCAGCAGGAATCGAACCCAAGCTTTCTGCTTGGCAGTCTGGCATTCTACCAGAGAGCTATGCCAGGTCTTGGAACTACTTTGCAAATAGATGCTAATCTTCGTGAAACGTCAATAGCGTTCGTAGTGCTGCCTACCTAATTTTATAAACATTAAATATGTACTGATTTGATACAACTGTTACTTTGGGTTAACCTCAATTGTGGTTAGGTTTCATGTGATTTATGTAGCAGTGTCCAGGTCCAGCATCTTCGCGAGCATCAGCACTTCATATCAACTTCTCGTGTTGCTAACACGCAGGTTCCAATTGACATCGTTGGGCAAGTGCAAATAACTGGTTATATAAACATCTGCAACTCTTAAATATATGCCCATGCGTGCAAGATTTGTACATATATATGGCATCATTTCACGACGTGTCGCTTAATAAAAAAAATCAACACGGTCACCTTCTCTCCGCATGCTTCGCATAACATTGATTCCCAGGTACGTGGGATCTGCCGAATTTTTTTTGTTTATTTCTTCAGTGATCTTGATCAAACTGCACAGGATTATGCAGTTTTTTCTTCTGGTTTCAAATATTGAATTATGTTTCCTGTAACTCGATCATCTTGTTTCTGAGATAACCTAAGTTCACTTTTTAATGTTTAAGGCCACCATAGAAAAACAAGTGCTTAATTTAAAGTGATATTTAGGATATGCCAATATAGACTAATGACAATAGATCGAAAGTATGCAAGAGTTTTTTGTTTTTAGGCCTTTCTTGATTATTTTACTGCAAAATGAGCTGTCTATATTCAAAATCACTTGGACTTGTGTTGAAATTTTCATTAGTAAATAATTAAGAAGGCTTGTGCTCTAAATTCGGTTACCATACTTGCGTTCTATTCACGTACAGGTTTCCATTGCAAAAAGAATTAACCTGCCCTAGCTGCAGAGAACA